TGAATGTCCTTCATGTTCTCCACAGTGTCCTCCCATGTCCCCCTCTGCTCTCCATATCCCCAACGCCCGCCACGAGGCCACGTCCCCCAGTGTCCTCCCCATGCCCCCTGTGTCCCCTCAGGTCCCCAGTGTCCCCACTCACGATGACAGGCCCCTTGTTGTTCTCCCGGTACTTGGTGTCCATGAAGAGGTAGACGCCCAGCGCGCCCAGCGCGTAGAGGAAGGCGAAGACGGCCACGGTGACGAAGAACTCGGCGGCCGACGAGTAGTCGCCCACCAGGAAAACCTTCTCCTGGCCCGTGCCCTGGCACGTGGGCACCTCAAAATACACCTGGTGCAGCCTGCGGGCAGGGGGCAGCTGCCTATGGGCTCCATATGGGGCTGGGGCAACCCCATGGGCCTAGGGGCTCTGTGCGGGGCTTGGAGCAGCTCCCTACATGGTACCTATGGGCTTGGAGCAGCCCTGGTTGATCCCTATGGACCTGGAACATCTCCCCATGGGGTTCATATGGGTTTGGAGCATCCCTGGTTGGTCCTTCTGGGCCCGGAGCATCTCCCAGCATGGTCCCTATGGACTTGAAGAACTCCTAGGTGGTCTCTATGGACCAGGAGCATCTTCCAGCATGGTCCATATAGACCTGGAGCATCTCTCTGTGAGGTCTATATGGGACTGGAACACCACTGGATGCTTCTGATGGACTTGAAGAACTGCTGGTTGGTCCCTATGGGCCTGGAACATCTCCCCACATGGTTCCTATGGACTTGGGGAACTCCTAGTTGATCCCTATGGACCTGGAGCATCCCCCCATGGGGTCCACAGGGACTTGAAGCAACCCCTGGGTGGTCCCTATGGACCTGGAACATCTCTGGTTGGTCACTATGAGCCTGAAGCATCTCCCTGCATGGCCCATAGGGGCTTGGAGCATCTGCCTGCACGGTCCCTATGGGCTTGGAGCACCTCCTCATTGGCTCTATATGGGCCTGGAGCATCTCTGGTTGGCTCCTGTGGACCGGGAGCACCTCCTCAGTACCCCATATGGGTCCGGAGCACCCCTAGGAGGTCCCTATGGATCAGGAACATCCCTCCCAGGGCCCCATATAGGTTTGGAGCATTCCCAGGAGCTACATCCAGACCAGGAACACCCCATATGGGCCCAGGGTTCCATCCACCTCCAGCCCTGCAGCATCTCACCCGTATGGACCCCCCCCTACACATTGCATAGGCCCCGGAGGGGCAGGGGGCCCTATGGAGCAGCCCCACCTGAAGGGGTAGCCGAAGTCCACGGCGATGTCCAGGTCGCTCTCGTTGCGCGCGGCGCATTCCACGCTCAGCTGGAAGGAGCCCCAGGAGGGCCCAGGGTTCCATCCACCTCCAGCCCTGCAGCATCTCACCCGTATGGACCCCCCCCTACACATTGCATAGGCCCCGGAGGGGCAGGGGGCCCTATGGAGCAGCCCCACCTGAAGGGGTAGCCGAAGTCCACGGCGATGTCCAGGTCGCTCTCGTTGCGCGCGGCGCATTCCACGCTCAGCTGGAAGGAGCCCCAGGAGCTGCCGCAGGTGGCGAAGGCGAAA